AGGCTAAATTTGGGCTGTCAGTGAAAATCTAATAGAGGTCTAATCATAGCCCATTTATAGACTAGTCATCAAATAGACGGCTATTAAACGACTACATATATACATCTAATAGACAACAAAATGGCAATCCATCCAAACAAATTAAATATACAGATTTTATTAAGAATTTTTTTTTTAACAATTTAAGACAATACAAAATGTTAAAAATACAAAAGAATTAATGACAAAATAAAATTTTACAAATATAATACACTTAAATATAAATATTATGATCAAAAAATTCTGGAATTTTTAACAACTTAAGATAATAAAATATAAAAATGAAAAAATAAAATATTTTAAATAACTTAAGATATTTAAAAGAAAAAAAAATCTAATACAAATCAAGAGCATGTTATCACATTTAACATTAAAACATTACGAATAAATGACAACATAAAAAAAAGATTAACCCTTTTGTTGGTTTACTTATTTTAACAAATAAAGCAGCCAACATTGAACTTAAAGGAAATTATTAATTATTGGTTTTATTTCTTGTTTAAAATGCTTCCCAACTGCATTCCTCAAGTCCAACTCTGTTGCTGCCAGGAAGTTGGTAATCAAAGCATCTGCCAAATAAGAAAGAAAAGAAAAAAAAGCACAAGAAAAGCTTGACATAATTTTTTTACTTTAATTACACTAATTGTGACAGGGAGTCATTCTCTTTTGCTTGGATGCCTACTAAAAACAAAAATGAGGTTAATGCACTATTTTAATACTGCTGCAAACTTTTTATAATTGATCACTGTTTTAAAATCGATTGAGTTTGTAAACACGTACGAATGATAAAACTTTTACTCTATTAAATTTTGCAATTAATCCTCTGAACACATGCGTGCTGAACCCTGGGCCTAGTCACGGATCACTGTCAACTACGATCTGCTCCCTTCACTAAAATGTCACGGTTCCTAAACATGATAACAAATAATATTGATAAATAATGAACACAGATAACAAAAACCCAGATACTTACAAGACCAAGTAGGAATGTCCTTTATCGTTTGTTGTTTGCCCGCTGCTCTTTGACAGGTAAACTTAGTGCTCTCTCGTGTAAAAACAAAATTCAAAACACAACACTGATTTCTACTAACTCTCATGTCTTGCGTTGCCAGTAGTCATGTATCAGTAGGGCTACAATTGCCATTTAGCGGTTGAGAATTGTAATTGCATTTTTATTTATAAAATGAAAGACAGTCTTATCACTTGCATTTGATAAGAAGCTGCGTGGGCGAAAAATACATGTAAACAATTTTAAGGCTATTTTGGCTATGCTCATCACTGGTCTGGTTACAGGTATAGGACTCTAGTATGGAACAAGATGGCACCGCAAATGGCAGCCAGGATACTGAGCTCCGTGATTCTTCTGATGTTTTTATTTGTTTGTTCTGTGTTTTGTCATTCTTCTACTATACGTTTTACCAGAGACGAACTCCTTAACATTAAGCAACACATCCCAGACAATATTTTTCAGTTTTTTGATTATTCGGACGTTTTGTTGGACATTCTAGTCGGAGGTACAGCTCTGTTGTTCAAACACGCGTGCAGACGCAGAAGAGGGAAACGCGCCGGCGCCCTGGTGAAGCTCCGCGCGGGCGGCTTTCGGACTGCACTCCCAAGCATTCATCTCGCGAATGTCCGTTCCCTTCCTAACAAAACGGACGAATTTCTCCTCACCCTCACCAACAAGGACTTTTCAAACTCTGCTGCACTGTGCTTCACTGAAATCTGGCTGAGTAAAACCCTTCTGGACAACAAGCTTCATCTGCCGGACTACCAGCTGTTCAGAGCGGATCACATCGCGGTGTTAACGGGGAAAACCAGAGGTGGTTGATTGTGTTTCTACATCAACGAAAGTTGGTGTTCAGATGTAACAATGCTGAAAAAGGTATGCTGTCCTAACTTA